AGGGCCAGTGTTTATTTCAAGCAACGAATAATGTTAATCTGCACATGCGCATCTTCAAAAACCATCAATTCAAAACAATTAAAAATTGCAGATATACTTAAATGTTACTAAATTATCTATTCAGTCATGTATGTTTGGGGAGAACTATTTTCTGCACAAAATCCATTAGCATTTCTAGTAGCTGTTTGTCGCCATTTGCCTGCTAAATATCAAAGCCATTCTTGGACTTACTGGCCACTAAGGTCCCGTGTCCATAATTATCCTCTGTGCTAGGAGTCGTTTCTCCGGAGTCCTCCTTCACGAACACATCCTGTCCATATAAAACAATCCCTGTAAGCCAAATTGCGCACCGAATGTGTTCTCAACCACTTTCACACCTAACACAATTCAACCAAAACTTCCCACCGTTTTTTTTTTTTTTTTTGCAAAAATACCAAAGCAGACTGTTAGGCCCCTACTAGGGCTTATTTTTCAAGTTGTACGTCAATATTTACATATAATTTATATTTACCAGGTTTTTAAAAGCTTATTTTGCTCAAAGAGAATGTGGGTTTATACACCTAAAACACTGTGACATAAGGTAATGTTTGTTTATGCGTCAATGGCCCGTTTCACATCGAGCAGTTCAGTTTTCTGTATCGTATCAGTTTGTCTGTGCCTTCTACGTGTATGTAATCAAGCTGGATGGGGATTGGTGGCTGGCGTGGGGTGGGGAGCCCAAAAATGCAAAGATATCTGCCTGTCTGTCTGTCTGTCTGTCTTTTTTCTATCTGACTTACCCCTGCAATGACGCGTCCCTCAAACTGAGAATGGCTGGCACGAATCCCGCTTTAATATCAAAGAGATGTTGCAAATAAAATTTAACTTTGATGGCGACAAAAGACACTTTTGTCATCTTTTCAAGTCACAAGCATTCATTTTCACAAAACGATAGTGTTTATATACAGTAGTGAACAATAGTTAACGTACTTATACCAAAAAATATAATTACAAAATAGGAAAAGATGTCTTGAATTTGCCATTAATATTTAATTGATTTTCGTGGTCAGTGCATGATGGCTGACAAGACATGCATTGATGCGTTCTTACATGGATTTATATGCAATGATAGGCTCTATACTTACGAATCAATAACGTAAACGTAAGTGTTATGACCATCGTTCCCTGAACAGAAAAAAAAACAGTATTTTAATAATTAAAAGTCCCTTAAAATAGTGAAGTTCTGCTAACAAAGGATTTGTCCATAAATGAAAATTTGGTGCAGATCTGTATGAGGGATGTCACATATAACCAAAAGAAACCACGGGAATTACTGAAAAAATAATTGCAAAAATATTTTGGACGGTAAACCTGAGATTGCTTCTGTCCTACTGGGGTAAAAGTATGCCCCTACACCTAAATTGCACATACACATATATGTACACATAAAGGAACGGAAATGGTTTTAAAAACTTGTGTGAGTCACAGTGTGATAGTGATTGCTATAAAAAATACAGGCAGCTGTTTGAAAAGTAGAACAGATGAGAAAGGATGTTATCGAAATGTTGCATGCCAAAAAAAACAGCCACTTTTAGTTTGAATGTATTTGCGTTGACAAACAAAAATTTCAGTTAAATCACAAAGTCAGTGATTCGTAGCCTGTTTGTTAAGTACATTGTGTTACGTACCTATGCTCTTAAATTTGTTGTCAAGTCCATATTCTCGCTTGTCTAATCTGTCCATAGCCTGAATGGGAAAAAGAAAGAAGAATATAGAAGAAATAAATATGGCATCATTACCTCCGCCAAGGAGGTTATGTTTTCACTCGCATTTCTTTTTTTCTTTTTTCTTTTTTTTTTTTTTTTGGGGGGGGGGTGATCAGGGGGTAGAAGGGGGTGATCAGAATTGAAACAAGGAGCACGTGTACTTTGCAACCCCCTCCTGTAAAATAACGACTGCCTATCGAGTAGAAACCCAGCCATGAAGCCTGTTCAGATGTGTTCAGACCTTTACAACTTGAAACATGAGTAAATTCTAAACATAACTTACCCAGGACCCGATGCCCGTAAGCCCCCGATCATCACACCAAGCGCTTGCTTCTATCACGCCATTTTGTTCTATGTAGTCAACTGCGTTGTCGAATGCAAGCTCTTCTATGGCACTAAAGCCGATAAAAACCAACACCATTATTAAGTGATATATACTGGTACGTATTAAAAAAAAGAAGAGGAATAACAAGCAATTTTCCTATTCATCTTTTTATTTTTTATCTTCTTATCCCTGGCTACAGCCCTGTTTACTTCCCTTTCTAATTTTATTTAATTTATCCGGAAAATCACAACTTTCAGCGTAAAATCATTATAATTGGTAATTCCATATGGGCTCATTGATGAAATATTCTTAATGTTTTCCACCAATAAAATATAACTGATGTTTATATTACCAGCTGTTCAAGGCACGAAGATCCTGTCATATAAATAGGTCTATAAGATTATCGGTGGCCATACACATATTCAGACAAAAGACAATGGAGAAAATGAACGCCCATTTATCACTTACCTGAACTCTGCTTCCATGGTGACAAATTTGTGTTTACCAACTTTTTTCTTCTTTTTCAGCTTCGGGGCTTTCTTTGCTTTCTTGGCTTTGCTGTAGCCTTTCACTTTGACGTCCAGCATATTTGCCGTTTGATCAACTAAAACAAAATCGCCACGTTTTAATCAATAAAAAATGTTTATTTCTGAGTTTTTTTCTCCAGTATACACTGGCGGATGTTCACCTTGAGTCTTATCTCTCTACTACCGTATGTATATTGTGAGATTTCAGGGGGTTCACTCTGGTAAGGGGTTGAGGTGAATTCGCCATTTTGTGAAGATAAAAATGGAGGAGCTAGATCCCCCCCCTCCTCCCTGATTCTCTTATAAGTCACACAAGTGCATGTAACACAAATCTAACTTCTGGCTAAAACACATTGGCAAAAAATTAATAATTATATATCTCCATGGCCAAACGTTCTTACTATATTAACTATGTATTCAGGAGTTGTGAAATATAAATAATACTGATAACAAGAAAAGCTTTTTAAGCAACCAAAGACATCGACTGCGCTAATGGAATACGTACGGTCTAGGTAGTCCTTCATTTTTACAATGTAAGTCGTACCATCACCGGCAGGGCGCGCCACCTTTCGCAGTTTCATTTTCGCTATCTTCGGTTTGATCTTGCGCTTTTTCATCTTGAAATCCGCCGGCAGCTGGGGCCGTCCTGCCGCCCCAAACAGCTCGGGAGGCATCAGCCGCGCCATGTGGTCAACATCCGTTTCTGTGAAGGGTGAAATAAATAAATATTAACTTTTTTAAAATTAGAATTAAATTAAAATTAATTTGCTGATGTGGGGTGGAGCATCGATGATTCATTTGTATCTTGTGTAAGGGTAGTAAAAAGGTATATCGTTTTTGCGGGAACTAAACAAATGTATGGAATATAAAGGGGCAGATTCACAGTGCACAACTGGAACGTGCACTTTGACCATTTCTTGATCATTTTGGAATAGGTCATGATTTTGGAGATTGTGAACATTTTTTTCTATCTTATTTAGATAAATAGATAACACTTCATTGAGTGAGAAAGCATGTTTTGTGGAGTCTGGAGTATATCTGTTTTACTGTTTGTTGATCTAAGGAAAGACATTTTGAGATTGTCCCTCGAAAAAAAAATGTGGCGGACGACAGCCCCCATTCTTGCTTACCAACAAACTACTTAGATATAACATTCCATGTATCAATCAAGGGAATTAAAAAAAAGGTTATTGTCCCTATCTTTTCAGCTTTTTAATATACTTATTGTCTGGTCGGGTAAATTTTTAGACAGCCCCTAAATAAAGGACTCTTTTCTCCTATTATCGTTACCAAAAATAAACCTGTTCAGTATTGAAATTCCGCGCTTTGACGAAAAACACTTCTTCACGGTGAAAAAAATTCAATCTCAGTGTTTTTTTTTTTTTTTTTTTTTTTTTTTTTTTGATGATGATTTATCTTAAACTAACTCACCTCTTGAGGGCCCAACACCACTGATCACAATGCTACCACTTGTCAATTTGCTGTCTAAATTTCCTGGGGCTTTTTTCTTGGGTTTCTTATCCTTCTTTGTATTCTTGGCACCAGCATCTACATTGAAGGATATGAAAAATAAAGGAAGGGCAAAGGGGGAATATTTACAACTGACGTACTACGTCTACAAATAAAAAGAAAGAGAAAAGTAATGCTCATACCTTTTATATATACATTTTCTCATATAAGTATCGCTGTACTATTTATTAACCTTGTAGAGTGCTTCATGGAAACGTTTAACACTTACGATGGACAAAAACATATGAGTAAACCTCATTAAACTATAGTCAAGTGCCCATCCACTACTGTGGTATTGCCGGTGGATATAGCTTCGTAAATTTAAATTAATAGCTGGAGTTATGGCGAATTCGTGCTTACCGCTACAGGTTAATTGAGGACGGTTTGGTTATCGCCTAAAATGAGGAGAGTCTGACGGGTATGTCGCCCCAGTCAATATCGTACTCTGTATGGAATTTAATGTCACACTTTCGTGTTGTTTAACAGGGCGATTTATTCTTTATCAGTAGACCTCCTCCCCCTCCCCCCCCCAAAAAAAGTCAATCTTTTTTTTTTTTTTTTTTGTTTATTTGCACCGAATCTATGCCCCCCTCTTAGCTATAATCTACTATACCCACAGACGGGTTAAAAACACTATGCAACAGTCCTAAAAAAATAAGCCCGACAACTGGTCTTAATTACTAGATGAAAAAACTTAGCCTACTTTATTCCAAGCAAACTTTAACCTTTTAAGTACAGTATGGACTGAACCATTAGCAATGACTTTACTTTTATAAGACAAGGGCAGTGCTTAATATAATCGAACTGCAACCAATATTGTGTTGAAGTAGACCGGAATTTTGGTATTAAAGTTTAAACTTGTCCTCCACTCCACCATCCCCTCCCTCCCTCCCTCCTTCAAGAGCTTCTTTCAAATGAAAATGCATTGCCATAGTCTAAATGTCCCAGTCACTGACGTTACAAACACTGATAATTACGGTTGAGCCTAGTTTAACACAACATCCCACTTCGAAAGTGAGAGACTGGTGACTTAATACCCTGGCTATAACGTAAGAGAGTCACAAAACGGAGCCTCCGCGATCGACACTGTTCGACCGACTACACACCCTGCTAAGACTAATTGCACAGGCAGAGTATCACGTGAAAGACCTACATCTCAAATTGTCGCCACGCGTACAAAGGCGAGACGTGAGCAGTCACAGTACATACCCGGTATATCATTTGCTATCTTTTTAACATTATCAGTCCACCGGCAACTTTACACTTCTTCAGACACCTATGACAAACTCGTGTTTATTTGATATTGACACTTTTAAGATAATAACCCAGATCAAAAGGATCAAAGGGAAAAGGATAAATAAGAGAAGGGCACGGCCTTCGAGTGGAAAATTAAACCTATTCCTACAAAGCGTACCATGTCTGAGAGTGGCAGGCCTATGCACTACCCTCTCCAGGGCCACAGGTTGATTTTGTACTTGATATTCACAGCTATGTCGTTATTACTTATTTTTACACCTTTCTCTACAGTAGAATTTTTTAAAGGAATTATTTACATCACCCGACTGGCCAATAACGTAGAGTACCTGTATACAGTCTAAGCACGCCCGCGTCACACAACTCGACACAAGAGGTATTCACTCGATGTGATTTCACTCAAAGTACGAAAGGGGAAAAAAACTCAATGTTCCTACCTTGTAAGCAGGATCCCAAGATCGCAAGAAGAATTAAGACGACAAGAAGATCGCGCGACTTCATTTCCTTGTATTTGTATGGACTGATCCAGCAAACAACAGTGTTTTTAACGCAGACTGTAGCAGTCATTCGTTTAAATAGTACGTCTTCTTTATGTTAATGGGTATAATAGCTTTTAATTAACTTAACTTAAAGAAGAGTAAATGTAGACATAAAATGTACGTTTCGCTGATTTATGGACTGTAAATAACACTTAGCGCATTACAAAAACACACACATATCCCCTTATCCGGGTCGTCTTTAAAGAAAAAAAAAAGAAAGTTTAAATGACATATTTTAAGCAGCATTTTTTCGAACGACGTAAAGTAATTACGCTGTAATGGTTATAAAGAAATAGGTATTTTTTAGGTGGCACGAATGGGTGCAGAATCAAAAGGGAAGAGGATGGTATTCATGCTTTATGTTATTAGCTTATTCTAGAGTCGATGGATGAATAGATTTTTTTCTATAAAATGTCTCGACGGTGCATCCGTTTGACTAAATACTAGTACATATACTGAGAAAAGTATACACAAAGAGAGAAGGAAACAAAAAGTGCACACTGAAACTGAGAATATGTCTAAGTGTTAAATTTTCCGTTTTTTTAAATAAAATCAGTTACGAAGGTATTAAGAAAAGACCAATTGTGTGTGATATCCTAGCAAACAATTACAACCGTATACAATCACTTGTCAATTAGCATACTACGTCGGTTCTGACGTCATCAACAAGTCTACTTCGCATATACTGTGATCACATCAACACTTTGAAAGGGACCATTTCCACAGATATTTGGATCAATCTACGTAGAACGGGGCCTAATAAACATAACACGGCACTTTGTATATGATGTATATTTTTCTATCTTTTACAACCAAATTCCTTCAGCTTATTTGCGACATCTACTTCATATTCCATCATATACATGCACTTATAGTGGAACGACAGGGACAATGACATAGCTTCAACAGTGTATTGTTCACCCGGCACTCAATCGGGATTACGCTACCGAATAATGATGGATGACATAAAGGGTCCTGGCGCTGATTTTTCAATTCAGTGTCACCACCACCACCACCTCTTTTCGCCTGTCAAATTATTACACATTCTGTTCAATGACTGTGACAAAATCGTCACGACTGTATTGTCGAAAATCATTTGGGAATACTTAAATTTACTTTTGTTATAGGGGATGTTCATGATGTTATGGAAGATGCTTATCTCTTTTGATGGGACACATACGGGTAGGTCGCATTTTCACAGCTGTTACCCGTATCCCTTTGCACTACACATCCGCAGATTACCTTGGTGAAATAAAGTGAAGATCAGGGCAAAGGTTACCATTGCTCACATACACGTTCATTTTGATAGCACTCGTGTATTTTCCTCTCCTATCCAAGAAAAAAATTCCCTCTCTCGTCGTAAAATCTCTGATTGTTACATTAAATCCCGTATTCCGTTCGTGTATGAACTTTAATCTTTTAACAATAATGTAAAACCTGATACGTACCAGAAACAGACAAATGATGCTGAGCAAGTACAAATTGCCTCATTTATTTTACACCAAATCCTCTTTAATGAGCGGACGCGGCTCACAGTCATAGGTAGATTAAATTACACTTGGGTACCTGTAAAAGGAACTACGAAGACAATGACGATGACAGGGACACAGCAAAATAGGTTCACACCTTTATCCACAACGTCATCGGGAGAGAATTAAAACGTTCCATCTCAATTTTCACGGTTTTGAGAAAGAACCATAGCACAAACTTTATACGCAAATAAGCAACGCAGGGAAGTACATGTACTGTAGAGCAACTGTCCAGCTTCTAGCGACACCGATAACTTCAAAAGTAAAATAAGAAAAGTATATAATTCTTATCCGACGAAGTGTTTAAGTTTACAATTGTGTTCCTGGTCACTACATTATCTATCACCCTCAACAGACCAACTCAACAGATCGTAGTTTATTGTATGCGATATCCCAATTCTAAATCGTTTCCGCCCTATTGCGTTTCCTGCAAAACAGCGATTGTTATGATGTCAACGACTGAATAAACATTGGTGATTGCGTATAAGTCTGTGTCATGAAGTTGTCAATTCATCTGTGTTCACCTCACATAGTTATGATGACACAAATGTCGCTTCTGCTTTCTTTTCTTTTGTCGTACCAGATCTGCGACAGTTCCGACTCGCACAACTTGCAAAATATTTATACTGTTAACAAAGATCAACAAAAAGCATTTTTCACGCCGTGCCTCTCAATTAAATGTAATAGATTAAGACTGCCAATTGTCAACGTAGTGATTGAAAGCGTAGTTTGTTACTTGAGCGAATGCTGGCCCTTGCAGCACGGACGTCGGCATGCGTCACCACTGAACGCTGTTATTATAGATGATAAACATATGTTATTACAGCTCCTCAATGGAGTCCGTGGGTGGAGACAGCGCCAAGGTTGTATATTTAGTTCCAGGGGACTGGACTGTCGTGTCACTGGCCTGCTTGAAGGAGCAAGAGAACGGCAAGTTTGGGAGTGAGTCTGACGTGAAGTCCGGGGGTAACGTACGGAACTTATTTTGTAAGTTTAAATTATCTATAATATGAATAGCAAGGTTCGACTAAGTTGCTCCTTTGGCCTTTTCACATTATGGCATTCATTGTGTTATATGACATTTATAGTCAGCCGAGTTGTTAGAACTAGAAGAATAAAAATTTTCTGTAACCTATCCGGAGTTTATTTAACTTAGTTTATAGAAAATCGGGTAATGTGAACTTTTAATCTGACGTTAACCTCAACATGCCCATGATTGTTCTAAATCCAAGATGGTTCTAGCTTTGCGACGTTACTAGTAGAAAAGCCGAACGCATATTTCACTTTGAAAACGTCAACAGCACAATGCATATGCAACCTGTATTTCAATAGCGAAAGTAGCACGGTTCAAGTTCTTTGGTTCAGTTTTTCCCACAACAATAGCGCTTCCGTTTATCGATACGCGTAGCTAGCTAGCTCTATATACAAGGATGTGATTTTCCGATATTCAGCCTGCTACACTTAAGACGCTAGCATGGGCCTGAGAAGGCAGCGATCGTATTTTCTACAGGGCCCAAGTTTTTGCGCACATCTTGGTTCAAGATCCATTTGAACATGGCGCAACAGGTAGCAGTGAGAAATGTATGTCAGTACCTGTTCATAAACGTTCATTTCAGGACTGACTTTGCACGCTCGTTGTCACGGGGAAGAAACTAGTACATTTACAATAGGCGAACTATGGCCGGCGTAGGACTGGGGCTGACTTTGGCACTCCTGTCCCTCACCTTGCGGTGTTGGCCTGTACACAGCCACGGCAGGCTGTACGAACCCCCCGGACGCTCCACCGCTCATTCGAGGGGCTTTGACACGCCGGCCAACTACAATGACATGGGCCTTAACTGCGGTGGATTTAGTGTAAGTTCATTATTATTATTATTATTATTATTATTATTATTATTATTATTATTATTATCTTACTGCGGTTCCATCGCTGTCAGTTGTTTGTGTTTTCACTGGGGTCTCTAAGACCCCATTCCTAGAGATTAGATCGGTCCAGCTAGATCGACCTAACTCCCTGGGTGTTAGCATAAATAGCTGTCAGCCGAGCGGGCACGAAAGTCAATTACCCCCTTACAGCTTGTAGAAGCCGGGACGGACATTTAAGCCGGATTATCTAACAGTAATCTAGTGAGACTCCCGACGGGGATAGATCGATCTAAAATCTATGGTAATGCGCCCTTATAACACATCTTTTTCATAAAATACGCAGCGACACTGTTGAATTGAATTAAGTCAGTACTTTTTACAGTATGTCTTAAATTGGTTTATTTCATTAGGATTATCGATATGAACCCCTATCGCGTGGTGACATTTGTTTAATCTTTCATGAGCATCGATCAGTCAAAAGAAACTGTCAAACGGAACACTTAAACGTTAACCGATAACGGTCTTTGGGCTGCAATCAATTTTTTCGTCTACACCGATTCAATCTGCTACCACCATCTGATCCGCTTGAGGGGTTCCTGTTCCCTTCCCTCTACCAGGGAGGCAGATTATAGGCAAATATATCTGTGCATTTATCTTGTGAAAAATCAATCTGTCGCCCTCGTAGAGGGTACCTGTTCCCCCTGTATACTAGTGTGCATGGGCCACTGGGCAATTTGTGTGATTTCATGAGCAATATGTGCGTGACTTGGCAGTATTGTTGATCGTGTGTGGTGTGGGGTAGCGGTATGACGACTGGACTACCTCTAATTTTTAAGTTAAAACAATTATAACACCGTCCATTTAAGACCACGCAGTGCATGCTCTCCGACTTTTTTTTTTTTTTTTTTTTTGACTTACTGAAAAAATAACCTGGTGCTACTCCCTAATCCTCTAAAGCATGCCCAGGTAAATAATTGGGCTTATAAGAATAATACATACTATTTTAAGCTTAGCTGTATTGTATATGCAGTATTGTTTATTATTGTATTGTAATAACACAAGTAGGGTGTACCACACCTGTAGTCATCTTTATTTGGTCTTATAATTCTGTGTTGAATTCTGTCTTTAAGTCATGTACAATCGTAAAAATGCATCCTTATTTATAGAGAATAGCCAGCATTGTGTTATTTTGAAAACCAAAACCAGAATCATAGGTTGTGCATGCATATTTCCTTTTCTTTCGCGGCTTTCGTTATACGTGTATTTCTTTTTCTTCCTTGGCTCTTGTTGCGCATGTTTTTCTTTTTCTTTCGTGGCTGCTTTCTTTTTCTTTCTTTCTTTTTCTTTCGTGGAGTCTGACTCTCAAAATAGTTGTCGCCTACATTTGTAAATACAGGAAGTTCGAAGATGTAATTGCGTTCTTGGGGTCGTTTGTAGTTTACTCATTTCAAACTGACTAAAATTACAATTGTTTATAGCAGTTGCGTCACAGAGAAAATAAATAATAACATGTCTCAACTCTCACCTTTGTCACTGCACAAAGAAACTCTGATATAATACCTGCAATTCAGGGGGGAGAGCCACTGTACACAAATATAATTACTGTATCTTGCGTTCATTATACTGTCGCGGGACACAAAAACACGACAAAATGCCACCAATGTCTACCATATTACGTATCAAAGAAGACAAACTAATGTTTCACTGACCGGAAAAATCACTGTCATACTTGTCCCCAAGCGGAAGACGGGTATTAACTGCGACCTGGCTTTTGGATAAATGCATGAGCAAGACGCTTTCACATTTTTCACAATAGAGTGTGAAATCATCCACGCCCCGACCCGCTGCCTTTTTCATCAATAACAATGTATTTATCAAGGGCAACTGTGGTGGGCAGCTCCCTGTAACCCCAGGGGTAATAACACTCCTCTTTAACCCTTGATTTAAAGGACCCCTCCCCTAACCACCCTTCCTAATGTAAGCCTAAAGTGGCAGGCACAATAGGTCTCGGTGGAATCTTAGATCAAGCGTTTTCCTCTACGGTCTTCGTGTTAAAACTTAATAGACCCTATACAAATAAGATTGTAATTAAACAGAACCAAGATGCTTTACAACAGGACAAATGACTCGGGTTGTCTTCTTCACTCTTCTAATTGTAATTATAATACATAAAGGTGAGAACAATTTAGTGAACTCTTTTTAATCTTCCAGTATAAAGACTGACAATGGTGTGCGCCGAGACAGGAGTGGTACCCTGTAGTCTGTTCCTCATCATTTCGTACTTTTGACATCCGTCCACCCTATTCTCACCGCACTTCTTCAAACCAAAACCAATCCTAGACATATTGGACCCCGGATTTCCATGCGTAGGGCTGCCATTAATGTCTCATTCGGGTTAAAATAAACGCCCTGGCTTAAGAGCACGGTAAAAGCTGTTTTAAAAACCGTTTACATATTTTTCGCTACATAAATCATATTTATAAATTTTGAGAAAGTTGATTAGAAGGTTGATTTGTCGATGAGGAAAGGTAAAAAAAATATGTTTCCTACATTAGACCAACACATGTACCCCCCTGCCTCCTATCATTATGTCGGGTCTTCAGAAAGCACATTTATGACGATTTTTATCTACGGGATCAACATGTGACTAGCTGTAGCTTCTCTGCGTCCAGGTATGAAAGTTTTAAAAGTTAAACTCGTTCATGCACCATCATTTCATTCCTTAATTATGCACAGATGAACGCATGCGAGCGGCGTGGTCGTAGAGGCGAAGGGTATTTTCCCTCCAAACACCCAGGAGTTTTTTGCCTTGTTATATTTCTAATCTCATATTCTATCTTAGTGTTAATATCTAAATGATGATTTCATATTCTTCAAAATTTCAGAACCAATGGGACGTACATGGTGGGAAATGCGGCGTATGCGGCGACCCCTGGCAAGGCCCTCGTGAAAACGAGGCTGGAGGGCTATACGCCACAGGAACCATTGTGCGGCAGTTCACAATGGGAGAGTATATGCCAATCGTGTTAGAAATAACAGCTCCACATAGAGGATGGTTTGAATTTAGGTAAATACTGTGAAAAAAAAATTGGTTGCATTTTTGTCTTTTTGCGACTAATACACATGCTGTACATGTACAGGTACTAAAAAGTAATTTTCGTCGAGTTTTTTTTTTTTGTGATAAAATATGAGTTTCTGCAATGTTTGTCCTACGTGAAAAATAAATAAACTGATTTACAATCTGATAACACTAAATTATTATAAGTAAAAAATAGATGAAATGAAATAAGCATTTAAATAAAAAAGTATGAGGATCACTATAGGTTATTGATATCAAACGTATCTCTTCGTCTTGTCTTAATATATATATTGAACCTTATAAGTTTATAATTGGGACAAATTCTCCACAATTTTCTTCAGGCTGTGCCCACACAACGACCCCAGCACCCCGATCACCCAGGAGTGTCTGAACCAATATAAACTCCCCATATACCTTCACGCCAACGGGACGACGGTCACCCGGTTCTACAGTTTGGAGACCATACCCGGCAGCGGGTGGACAGTGGGAAAGGTCTACATGCTGGCCAAACTGCCCGATTACGTCACCTGTACACAGTGTGTACTGCAGTGGAAGTGGCACACCGGTGAGTGGTGTGACGTCATATGCGGTGAAATGACGTAACGTTGAGCTGCTCGAACTTAATGTAAACAAAATCAAAGCTACGCATGATGTCATATTTAGGGAAAAGACGCAATACTTACCTGACCTTAATATAAATAAAGCCAAAGTGGTATGATAGAATTCTGAGATAATTTCGGAATTACCAGCAATATGTTCAGATAAATACACTGTAGAATAACAGACATGTCGGGGTCCAACATACAGAGTGGATAAGTAATACCCAAACTTCACAATTGCAAATTTTTAAACACAATACAGAAAACCTAATTTCTAGAATTCAAAGTAGTATGACTGTGAATTCTACTGCGCTGTTGAGAAAAAGTCTCGTTCCGTGATGTCTTAATGTTGAATTTAAAAAATGTAAATCGGGATGGGACGGGTTTCACACATTATTCAGGGGCAGCCCCAAATTTAGCAAACAAAACGAGATTTTTCTGTACCCTGCCTATTGCTGAAAATCTATCCACTATTATATGCGTCGGTTCGCAGAGCAAATGGCAAATAAATAAATAAATAAATAAATAAATAAATAAATAAATCCTTTTCCAGGAAACAGTTGGGGAACAGACCCAGACGGGAACTCCTGTGTGGGCTGCGGCCCACAGGAAGAGTTCTACGGCTGCGCAGATATCGCTATCTATCCACCAGGACAAGGTACAGGAGGAGTCACATTGCCTGCGACACCAGCGCCAACCGGAACTGGAACAACTACGGGGGGAGATACTGGATCCACTTCCGCACCACCGACAGGTTTGAGAATATTTTTATGTGGATTATAATTTTACTAGCAATGCAGTGAAAGTTCTTGAACGAAGTCAGCTGCAGTAACACAATTATAAAAACAGATAAAAAGAAACTGTATGACGTCAGAATGCACCTTTTTGCAAGAAAAAAAAAACTAAACCACCTGTTACCCGTATAATTGTTAACTCACGTTATTTTGGGGACACATAGCAGGGGCGTGCTGCCACGTCGTCTGTCTTCTCAAATTGATCTAAACATTTCAGTTAAATATAGTAGTACTGACTGACATCTTTTTATGAAATAGTCACTCAACAAACGAGGTACAAGTTAAACTGAACAATTTTGTTCAACTTATATGACCTACCTTAGATCTCTATCTATACGGACATTGCCTTAACGTGCGTTCCTAACATTTTTATAGCTCCTGGTAACATGAAGGTGGGCTGCTGGTTTACCAACTGGGCACAGCACAGGTCGGATCTAGCTGCCAAATTCCTTCCGGAGGACATTGACGTCAACCTGTGCACTCACATCTACTACGCCTTTGCCAAGGTGGACAGAGGGACAAATGGGGAATTCACGGTCAAGCCTTACGAAGACAATGACTTTGGTAATGCCGATCTTTTAATTTACCTCATTCTGAGGCAATCTTGAGATTGGTCTTAATTGCACCTAGTCCAGTAGAAATAAACTTGTATTTAATCAGACCACACGGGCACTGAACATAATGGTATACTGGGCGGTATTCCGTGGACGTGATTTGTGAAAGGTTCTTTTAATAAACACGGGTAACCCCAACATGATTCAGAATACGGTTTGTCAAATATTCGTTCCTGCAAGTACCATTTTTAGATACGGTTAGTACATTTAATCTCCTAGTCCTAATGTACCGAGAATATTAGGGATCATTCCCAGACCCTAAGGTATTAACTGTGGATCGATCTATCTCAGAGGGAATTCTCGCTAAATTGCGATCATCTTAAGCGGCTTAGATGTTTGTCACGCCTACTGAAACTGCTATAGGCGTGCCAGACATCTAAGCCGCTTAAGGTGAAAGCAATTTAACGAGAAACCCCTAGGACATGGATCGATCCTGTTAGATGTACCTGTTAGGTATGGGAACCCAGTCTTAATCACTATTTCAACATTACTGAATGTTTGTTCCAGAGCTGTACTCCCGAGTGATAGGTCTGAAACATTACAAGCCAACTCTTAAGGTCCTCCTGGCAGTCGGAGGCTGGACGCACGGTACGGCCGCCTTCAACGAGATGTCGGCCACCGCGGTGACCAGGGGTCAGTTCTTGAGGAACACCATCGCTTATTTGAGGCTACACGGGTTTGACGGTCTGGATTACGACTGGGAATATCCTGGAGTGGCCTGGCGAGGCAGTGGACCCGAGACCAAGCAGCAGTTTTCGGACCTGGTCAAGGTTTGACACGTTCATGTATAGCCTTTGTATTGTGGTAAACCCATTTCCGATGGTCGTGGGTTTATGCTTATTACCGGTGACGTGCGGAAACAGGGGCGGACCCAGAGCTATTTTCTGACAGTCTTCCAAATTATCTTTGTTGATTCACCCTCTAATTTTGACCGTCTTCCAACATGAAAAAATGGATACCCGTCAATGTAAACTTGAAAATCTGACCGTCTTCCAGAAGACCCAGAAGACGGCCTAAATCCGCCCCTGGGAAAGAGTAAACCGCGCATGCACGTCACCGAAATTGGGCATGAACCCACGACCCGCGGAATTTTTCTGTGGAAAGGGGAGTTAAGTATGTCGATGCTTTNTATCTATACGGACATTGCCTTAACGTGCGTTCCTAACATTTTTATAGCTCCTGGTAACATGAAGGTGGGCTGCTGGTTTACCAACTGGGCACAGCACAGGTCGGATCTAGCTGCCAAATTCCTTCCGGAGGACATTGACGTCAACCTGTGCACTCACATCTACTACGCCTTTGCCAAGGTGGACAGAGGGACAAATGGGGAATTCACGGTCAAGCCTTACGAAGGCAATGACTTTGGTAATGCCGATCTTTTAATTTACCTCATTCTGAGGCAATCTTGAGATTGGTCTTAATTGCACCTAGTCCAGTAGAAATAAACTTGTATTTAATCAGACCACACGGGCACTGAACATAATGGTATACTGGGCGGTATTCCGTGGACGTGATTTGTGAAAGGTTCTTTTAATAAACACGGGTAACCCCAACATGATTCAGAATACGGTTTGTCAAATATTCGTTCCTGCAAGTACCATTTTTAGATACGGTTAGTACATTTAATCTCCTAGTCCTAATGTACCGAGAATATTAGGGATCATTCCCAGACCCTAAGGTATTAACTGTGGATCGATCTATCTCAGAGGGAATTCTCGCTAAATTGCGATCATCTTAAGCGGCTTAGATGTTTGTCACGCCTACTGAAACTGCTATAGGCGTGCCAGACATCTAAGCCGCTTAAGGTGAAAGCAATTTAACGAGAAACCCCTAGGACATGGATCGATCCTGTTAGATGTACCTGTTAGGTATGGGAACCCAGTCTTAATCACTATTTCAACATTACTGAATGTTTGTTCCAGAGCTGTACTCCCGAGTGATAGGTCTGAAACATTACAAGCCAACTCTTAAGGTCCTCCTGGCAGTCGGAGGCTGGACGCACGGTACGGCCGCCTTCAACGAGATGTCGGCCACCGCGGTGACCAGGGGTCAGTTCTTGAGGAACACCATCGCTTATTTGAGGCTACACGGGTTTGACGGTCTGGATTACGACTGGGAATATCCTGGAGTGGCCTGGCGAGGCAGTGGACCCGAGACCAAGCAGCAGTTTTCGGACCTGGTCAAGGTTTGACACGTTCATGTATAGCCTTTGTATTGTGGTAAACCCATTTCCGATGGTCGTGGGTTTATGCTTATTACCGGTGACGTGCGGAAACAGGGGCGGACCCAGAGCTATTTTCTGACAGTCTTCCAAATTATCTTTGTTGATTCACCCTCTAATTTTGACCGTCTTCCAACATGAAAAAATGGATACCCGTCAATGTAAACTTGAAAATCTGACCGTCTTCCAGAAGACCCAGAAGACGGCCTAAATCCGCCCCTGGGAAAGAGTAAACCGCGCATGCACGTCACCGAAATTGGGCATGAACCCACGACCCGCGGAATTTTTCTGTGGAAAGGGGAGTTAAGTATGTCGATGCTTTTGCAATAAAAATTGAAGGGGAATGTAATTATCAATACACAAAAGTATACTGCAAAATGTTTGCTGTATGGTGACTTTTGTCTTAACGAGTAATTGCTACAAACATTGTCTATATAAACAGACCTCATTTAAATAAACTAATAACTTTTAACAAAACTCTGATTTTTTACCAGTAAACTATTGTAGGGACCAGAAAGACAGTCATTAAATTGATAAATCTTTTTTTATATTAACCAAGTAATGGTATCTTCATCTTACTTTACTTCTACATCTAGGAAACTCGATTGACATTCGAAAAAGATGCTACCGACACTGGAAAAGAGCGTTTGCTGGCAACAGCCTCCGTGGGAGTCAGTAGTTATATTGTTGAAGCAGGCTACGACATTCCTACCATGAATACGTGAGTTTTGCCCAATGGTATGATTATTCCTGAATATTTATAAGGGTTTATTTATTTACTAAGACTTGTTTGAGCTTTCATAATATTATAATTTGATAAAATCCGCGATAATGAACAATGGGGAAAGTGAATGGTTTGAAGTAAGTTCAATATATAGCGGTATTTGACAATGAAAGAAAAACATTACAGAATGAGTTGGTCATACGACAGACTTGTCTGTGGGAGGTTATCTCAGAATATGCACGTGACTTATTGCTCAGAAAGCTGGAAGTAGGGCAGGGCACAGCTCCTACCATAAGTAACTTTTGGGGTACCCAAACAGTGTGACGAACGAAACAAAACAAAATCAAAGATTCATTCCATACCCCCTTGCCCAACATATTATAGTTGTCTTCGTCTACCGTTTTGTATTGAACAAGCGAAGGAAGGCAATAAATGATCTCCTCTCCAAACCCATATCTAAATTCTATATACTATACACTAGTGATGGGATTTTCTTCTTCTAACCTTACCTTCTTCCTTGTGAGCCGACCAAATTAATGGTTATAATTAGTGCTCGAACCACTCCAAACATATGCTGTTGGTGATATCTTTTCAGGTATCTTGACTGGACTAACCTGATGAGCTACGACTTACATGGCTCCTGGGAAGCGTTCCTTGGCCACCACACGGCGCTGTATGCGAGGTCGGATGAAGATTCTACGCAGGCGCAGATAAATGTGGTAATTATTTACATAAGCACAGTCTATTGACGTACATGCACATATGTCACGAAAAGTTATATCCACTGGGACTGTGAATTTGAAAAATATAATGTTCAGGTAGGGAATTATACAAAAAATCCATGTCATGTCAATATTTCCATACCTTTATCTTCATTTTAAGGTTCATTCAAATGAAAAAGATACTGAGTTTCAGTCCTCAGTGAATCGTACATGTGTATGATTTGAGTCTATGCCACTGTACAACGTCTCTATATTTTAGGACTTCGTTGTTCGTTATTGGATCAGTCAGGGATACGAATCTCAAAAACTTCTTCTCGGGGTCGGATCGTATGGTCGCACCTTCAGAATGGCGTCCAGATCCGGGTACAACTTGGGGGATGCCGCTTCTGGTGCAGGGAATCCTGGCCAATATACCGTTGAAGGTGGCCTACTGTCGTACTACGAGGTAATTGCTGATAAGTTTTTTCTCATACCGTTTTGCTTGATCAACTTGACAACAAAGCTTATGTCAGTTAAACCCATCATTTACATGTCAAAATATTTCTCAAAATTTATTTCAGTACACCCTGGGTTATTTGAGGGCTAGCATATATTTACAAAATAAGCTATTCGCGTTCTTTATTTCAAGGTGTGTAAAAACCTGGGTGAAGGCTGGACTAGAGCGTTCAACTACGAGCACAAAGTTCCTTATGCCTACAACAGTGCCTCGCTGCAGTGGGTGGGCTATGATGACGTAGAAAGTATTGGATACAAGGTGAGTTGAGTACATGTACTGTATGGGTAGTGAATGGAATCATCCAATATACCCTTAGACGAAACTCTCGGCATTGCTTGACGTCATACGAGACTAGAAAATAACTGGACTAAGCTTTAAGACCTTTAATTGTAACCATTTTTTAGCAGCAGTTTATTCAAATGAAATTGTGTGATTATTTTATACATGTGACATCGTTGACATAGCTTGTGTTTTATACTTTAATTACATAGACTATCATATCTGGATTGGTTTTGATTGGAATTAGTCAAAGTTTTTCATGAATCGATTTTGATCGATTTTCAAGCTCAAAGGCTGCTGTGAGATTCGCTGGTCAATATCCCTAATTTCCCTACAATGATGCAATCTCCAAGTACAATAGTGTGCAGACTGGGTGTGAAATTTTCTTCCGTCGTTCTAGGCTGACTTTGCGTGTAGACAGCAATTGGGCGGGGTTCACATGTGGGCAATCGACCTGGACGATTTCAAAAATGCCTTCTGTAACCAAGGAAACTATCCATTGCTGACCGCGGTGAACACGCACCTCTCTAGGTGCAGCAGCGGCGTCACGGGAACACCGGGAGTCTCCACTACCGCACCCACAGCCCCTGTAAGCTCCACCATAGTGCCTACGGGGACTCCAGCGCCATCAGCAGGGACTCCAGCTACGTCGGCAGGGACTACAATTACGTCAGCAGGGACTCCATCTACGTCAGCGGGGACTCCAGCTACGTCGACAGCGACCACTGCAGCACCTGGAGGTACTTTCCTTTATAAATATCTTTGAATCAGTATTAATTTCCTGTGGTCAAAATTGTTTTAAAGTTTCATGAATACTTTTCTTGAATCATATGTTTTAATTTATGTGATTTTCCATTGATTATTTTTCCAAGCTCGATCATCATCATGACACCCTATCCTTATTAATCTGTTTATAATATAATATAATATAATATAATATAATATAATATAATATAATATAATATAATATAATATAATATAATATAATATAATATAATCTCATTCAAGGACCGATCACCTGTTCATACGATGGTCAGTTCCATTCTGACCCTGAAAATAGCCAGTGTTACTACCAGTGCGGACACCAGAACCCCGTGCACTACTGCTGCGCAGAAGGTACATATTTCTGCCTGGCTGTCACAAACTGTAAATGGCTCAGCGAGCCGTGCCCCGGTGCTTCAAGCACAGGGCCATCGTCCACGGCGACCACGCCCGCGGCGCCTAGTCCCAGCACTTCTAGCACAGTCAGTACCACGGTCAAGACTACGACTACCATGGCGCCGACGACTACCACAGTGCCTACGACTTCCACAGTGCCTACGACCACCTCAGTACCAACGACTACCACAGAAGGTAAATTAAAAGACAACAGAGATAGTTTGATGAGAAGTTTCTGTATGGCAGCTAAAATGTTATAAACTGCATGATTTCTGACAAATGACAAATAGATACATGATTTTATTGTGAATACGGGACTGAATATAAATCTAAGGGCATTTTAAAGTTTTCTTTTAAAACAAGTAACTAATTAATAGCAGTGGCATTCTTTGCAATTCCATAAATCTCTTGATCGTCATTGAAGTATTTTAATTGCGTGTTTTTAAAAACTCCATTTCTTTCCTTTACATAAACAAATGATCGATGTTATGTTATGCGTTCCGTGAAGTAGCAATGATATCATTTTATTTTAATAAAACCTGTCATTACTATGAAAAAGCAGCTCATCTTAGAACTGGCCATTTTAGAAAACGTAACTTTTGCAGATGCCCAAAACCCACGTAACGCCTCTTTAATCACATTTGATTTAAATTTCTTTAGTCTTTAAATATATGTTTTTTTTCTTTTTAGGCGGTGCTGTAACCTGTGGCAACAGCCAATTTATTCCTGATCCTACCAATAAACAATGTTACTATCAGTGTGCTCACAACGTACCCTATCGCACCTGCTGTGCACCGGGAACACACTGGTGTCAGCCACGAATAAACTGCATATGGGATTGGGACACTTCCTGTTAATGGCGCATGCTCTGACGGTGTGTGAACCCTGGTCCTTGTCCATACCAGTGCCTATAACTAATTCACCGGGAAAATGCGTCATCAAATTCTTTTGGGTGAATTTTATTTGTTGGTGACGTTTACCATGACCGGTATTATATTTCAGTAACATAGGCGGCAATTCCTAAGGCCTGGTTTGTACAAAACAGGGTCTTAATAGGACCTTGTTGCAACTTTACACTTATACACCGGTGTGAAACAGGGACGAAACTGTGAAAGGATTTTTCTTCATAAAATGTTAGAATGATCCGGAATCATTCTCAATTTTTTAACTGCTCATATCAATCGTAAAACAATCATTTAACGAACAGTCGGCATACGTTTTGTAACTTTAACATTCTAGTCCTGCCACGACAGATAATCATCGTTGTTATCTTATTGAACTTATTAACCTATTAATAAACCAGTATATCTTACAAACAGTTGTTATTTTTTATTATATATTTCGTTCCAACCAAAAAAAATTGTTTTAAAATGCAAGCTATGTGATATGGGACATCTGTGGGATGTTGATTGTTGGGGGCGTGTCTTGGGACATCTTGTAGGATACTGATTGGTCAGCGGTGTCTTGGATGTTTGGTATGGGCGTGTTCAGCGATATATTGGTGGACACTGACAAGCCTGGGTTATCTTTTTCTCTTTTGGTAACGGGCGACATTTTCTTTTGTAGAAAGAAGTATGGGGCGAGTTCCTGGGTTTTTCTAAGTTTTTCCAAAGAATGGAAAATGCATATTATAAAAGCTGACAATTATTTGCCATTCATGTACCAGTATCTCGTGATTTTACAAAGATTTCTGTCGGTTATCTCTGGACAGTTATCCAAACTGTTTTCTCTGGGTGTCATTCTGCATGCAACAGTGAACGGTATATAAGGCAACATTTTACAGCAGGTTGATCAACTTCCATGCTGTTAAGTATGCCTAGGAAGATCAGTAACCCAACTGTTCTAATACGTCGAGATTCGTTTATCTTTGAAACTACGCACGGTATCTGGTAATTTTTATTATTAAGTCTAAAATCCAAGTTCGTTCAGTAGACTTTACAATTCAACATGGAAAAAACAATAATAAAAAGGCTAGTAAAAATGATAAAAACAGGAAAATTGATTAAATCAACTTGAAACGTTACCTGATTACTCACTTTAAAACGTCTTTAATAAAAAAAATTCTATTCGTAATTTTTAAAGAATAAGTTTTGAGTTCCCTTTTAAAAGTAGCTGGAGAGTCTATCCTATGCAGTAAAAGCGGCATTATATCTCATTCCCTAGGAGCAACGACTTTAAAAGAATTGTCACAATATGTGACGAGTCGAGTCTTAAACGGTGTGAAGATTAAATGGTCAGAAGAGAGTAATAGGAAGGAGATGGGGGGTCGTAAATTGATGCAAGGCTGTATAAATATGGTGGGGCCAAGCTGAAAAAAAAAACAGCGAGTGCATATACCAAAGGCAGAAAAATATAATCCGTGCTTTTATGAGTAGCAATTTAAATAGTTTGAGAATAGGGGTGATGTGACTGTCACCAGGTGTGCGGTAAGAACTTGAGCAGAGATATTTTGAATACGTTGCAAACATTTTAGTTTTTCTTGTGGACATCCGTAAAGAAGAAAATTGCAGTAGTCTAGTCGAGATATAACAAGAGCATTTAAAATAGTATTTGTAGAAGAGTCACTTATATGGTTTCTCAGTGAGGCTTATTTCTAATATGAAACATGCATGATTAAGAAATTTGAGGAATTTGTTTGTCAGAGAGACAGAGAGGTGCCCACGTATATACCGAGATTTTTTGCATTAAAAAACTTCCCAAGGATATTTTGATTGGAATAAGTGGTGCACAGTTATGATTGCAGTCAAGTACAGTCATCAAAACAGTTTCAGCATGATAAATGCCATCGTTTTGCAGCGTCGACGTTATTCGTAAGAAAAAAAAATTGCAGAAAAGACGAGAAGACGTTTTTTTTTTTTCTGAACGCGGTTTAAGGGGTATATTACGTGGCGCCACACCGGGTAAGCTACCCTCACTGACCCAACCTTGTTTGATCGTGGGATCCAACCACAAAAATATAAAATGGCTTTTAGCTACATACATTGTCAGGTAAAGCTAAAAGCGGCAGGCGCTGTATATTTTGGATCGTTAAGTTCTCCTCGCAAAGAGTGGAGACTAGTCTGTGGAAATAAGACAAACGGTGGTTTTGAAAATTGCGCTTCGCATGTCTCAGTCCTGTGCATCTAGAAACTGAATAGACTGAAATGTTAGCTGGAAGTTCCACACCCCTGACCCCGTGCTGCAAATTTTTGGTTGCCAAAACTAAAAGTCTGGTCCTTTTCCCGCAAGTTGCATCTCGCGCTGATTGGAGATATATATTCTTTTATTAAAATTTAGATACTCAAGTGGAACGAACGCGAGTGATATAAATCTACTGATCAGAGTAGTAGATCAAACAAACAGAACTCACAACAAAGCTCATACAATGTTTATTTTGTCATTTAAACTTGTTTCTAAAATTTAATTAATTTGAATGAAACACATCTTGTGACAATAAAAAGGCTTTGATACATTTTACGTAAGAATGGAAACCTTAATTGGACACTGCAAAGCATTAATAAAATACATACGTCCAAGCGTCGATTATATTTTTAGCCACGAAGATCTATCAGTTAGGTTCTGCTCAAGACAATTCCTAATCTTCGTTATGCCTAGAGGGCAATGTTACCATCTTAAGTAAATTGTATACAACCTTTTATATATCACAAAGAGGCTTTTAAAATATTACATAACCAATCAGCCATGCTAGTGTACATTTTCCATATAATTTCCTAAAATAATGCAAATGTTCTAAATTCTGAATTTTATATAATCAAGAATTAATGAGCTTTCATACTATATATCATATTGTAGCAAATTTGACATTTACATTAGTTTTATCCCCTGTAACACAATTCATCCTCCATGCAATATGTACATGTACATGTAGCCATTGCTTCTATTTATAAATTCCATTTAAATTAAATACGGTAAAATAAGGTGAAAATTCAAATAATATATATCTCTTCAAAGGGATATTGCACATTTGGACATAGTGTGGAGGGGATAAAATTATTGTAAAATGGCCAATGTAATTAAAACGAAAACATATGTGTAATTTCTTTCTACAAAGAACTAGTCAATTTAGCATATTACTTATATCCAGATTCGTGAAATGGGGTTTATTAAAATCACTGACCCATTTCTTAACAGTCATGGTATCAACTGGCAAGTAAACGCTTTGTCTCTTTAGAGATCATGTCTTCATTATATTATATCAAGACAGCTAACTTGCAGGTAATAACATATTTATGATATAATATGGAAATTAAAAAAGTGAAACAGCTGAAACAATCACTAACTTATTGTGTTCCTACTAAAACATGCACTTTCTCTTCAACCACACCACCAGTAAGTATATACCAATTATGCCTTATATTTGCAACAGGTGCTATATTTCATATGTTTTACTTTATATCAAATGTTTTGTTTCACACCACTGGTTTATGTTGAAGCACTTGCTCCCTACCTAGAATAACATGATGAGTAAAAACTAACTTTCCTATAGTTTTAATGCAAAATTAATAAATGGGTCTAACTGTTTATTAAAACCATTTACTTTTCTTGATTTTACCGCTTAATGCAACTTCTTACATACGTCGGGCTTTCTGGTCAAGGCTGACAATAATTGGATAATTAAATAGGCCTATATTATAGATGACAATGCTTCTTGCCTTTTGAACCTAATAAAAGCACATATTATCAACCTGTATTTTATCTATCCCACTGGACCCTTATTTAAAATAAATAAATTAATTAATTAATAAATGAGAAAATCAATAAAATAAGAAATATATTGATCATACTTATTTCCCTTCCTTATAAATCATTAGTAATGATGGTTCTAAACATAGATTTACCTATTATTGGAATACTTTACTTTCACATTTTGTTCAAGTATGTATTGGGCCTGCAGTCTTATCATCAATTACCATTTAAATATATAATAGTGCTGTTGTTATGTATTTGGATAAATATCTCCTTAATAATTCAAATCAAGACTTGGTTCACATAAGTTCCAACCAAGATTCGCTAGGAACCATGGTATATTAAGGCCCACCCATTACAATAAAAGTTCTAAATACTACGTGTTAGGGGCCAACCAATACAAATTGAGGTTCTCCAACCAATATATTAAAGGACCTACTGTTACACATAAGTTAACATTTGGTCATATTAATGAGCAACTATCATATATAAAGCCCAAATGGTTCCATATATGACCCAGCCACAAGTTAAAACGTGGGTTCTTTAGTTTCAAACGACCTACATGTTGTTTTTGAGTTTGAAATCCACCAACCTCACTTATAAAAATAAAATGTGCATTTTTATCTCCCCCCCCCTTCTACCCCCCCTCCCAATTAAAGAGCAGTTATCACTCCTTTAGTCCCCTCTCTGCTACCACCTTCCCAATTAAGGAGCAGTTATCACTCCTTTAATTCCCTCCCTCCTACCACCCTCCCAATTAAGGAGCAGTTATCACTCCTTTAGTCCCCTCTCTGCTACCACCTTCCCAATTAGGGAACAGTTATCACTCCTTTAGTCCCCTCCCCGCTATCGTCCCCTAGTACCAACATCCCCACCTTCTTCACATAATGTCTCCAAATGAATTCTTAATAATGGGGTTGCTGCCCTAAAGGCTATTTAAAATGATGTAAATTCATATATGTCTGCAGTTCTCCCATAACAACCAATCTAGTTAGTTGATTTCATGCTATCGAATGTTAAAGGCTATACATTATTCTGATGAAACGTTAACGGTAAATGAATGGTTGAAATGACATAGCTACAATCAAATTGCATCATTTAGATGGACACACATCTTATTCTCTTATTTGCCAGTTTTGTATTCCTCAATTTTCCTGGCTCATAAGATGTGTTATCTTGAAAAGCACTCCTCACTGCCAAATTTTAGATTATTCAGTTATCTATCTAGTAATTTGAAATTGGTTAAAACAGATCATAAATATATACATATATACATTGTTTTTTTTTCTATTTTACCATGGTCTGGATTTGTTTTTACTTATCTAGATATCAAAGTTGTAAGATATGCTTCTTACTTTCCTTATTCCCATATTAAAACCAACTTTTAAACTATACACACACTAAAACAGTCAGCTAACTGAAGCTCTACTTCACTCTAAGTGATAAATGTACATGTACATACAGAATATTCTGGCAAAGGTACTCACCCCTGAATATCTCTCCTATAAAAATCGCGTTATTTACATAGTTGGCCAAAATGTATGAATTGCTCATTATAGTCAAATGAAGAAGCATGCGCAGATATCATGAGCCGCGCTGAATTTATCAATATACATATTCATAGTCAACTAATACTATACAGTGTGGCCCCAAGTTTTAAACATGTTACGGTTCGAGAGGCTCTCCGTAAGTCGATTTGCTCTTCTTAAGTCCAGCAATTACTTGCCCATGCTGTATGTAAAAAAAGCATAGACTGGCAAAATAAAACAAAATTGTCTATGTCTTTTAAAGTCGATAACCTGAATTCTTGCAACTTCCAGCCAGTCTGAATACATCTTAATGAAATATAACATTGTAAAATCTGTATGTACATTGCTGGAAGCAGCAATCCACCCACATTAACTGATTTGTGCATACATAGAAACACGCACACAGATATATACATACCGTTATGGTAGTGATATTCATAGCATATCTTCACCGCTGAGAGGCTAACAATGTGATAAACATATTACTGACAAATATCATGAACTTGATATCATGGAAATTGGGAAATATTTACATCTAATTAAAAGGTGAAACCATTATTTACATGCAATCGGTATTTACAAAGCCTTGTGTTATGATATACTGAGAGATACATTCAAAATTAGCTACTGTATATGGATAGGTAGTATATGCACATGTACAAATTTACAAAAAATATTGGCACTGTTGATGATTGAATAAGACTTCCTATCCCAGTTATAGATGCATGTATGTACACCATCCTTTTTTTTTACAATTTGACTTGAAAATTTTCTTTTCGAAACACAGTATCAGCATAGACGCGCCTTGTAATTCTCTTTTTAGAGGCGATGAATATTGATCGTATAAAACAGTGGCTGTGACATTCAATGTGTCTATGTACAAAGCAAAGCGTCATATTCTCTATATAGCGGATGTCACATCAAGGTATGTACGTCAAATATGTGACATCTGTCACAATAATTCAAAGTGATGCAGTTCATCTATCTACTCACTGTCACTGAGCTCTTAGAGTTTGTCCGTCTTTGATGTCTCTTTGTGATGGCTTTGGGTCACCAGAAGTAAATCAGGCCAAAGCGATCCATTTTCCTTTAGATATTAACACAATCATTCAGGCAAGTGTTGTCTGTATTTTAATTGTATGTCAAAAACAACGATTTTACATCTGTGGCCAAGCCTTTGAAACACTCTCTGAAACGAGACTGACGCAATAAAGTTGTCCAACTTCGGTCGGCAGGTGATCAGTTATACAGACCACGAATTAAAGTCATGATTACTTAGGTTTTTCTGATTTGCATTTGTCTCTTTGGTCTGGGTGGTCCCCTTGGTCCACTTGCCCCTCCTCGAAACACCTGGTTACGCTGTCTGGATTTTTCTCGCTCCTAACAAAATATGATATCATATATTATTAAATATAGATTGAGTGTTTTTCTTTCTTTTGTTGTAAAAAACATATCAAACGTATTAAAATCAGGTTAGTATAATGGTTTAACTTCTAATATTTCATGGTAATATGCAAAAAAATAGAGAAAAAGAAATCCACACCAGACCGTACATGTTTCACTTATTGATTTGTCTTCTCTCTCAAATCTAACAAACATCGGCTGCGTTCTTACCTCTATAACATTCAGGACCCGTTTGTAGACTGCATGCGTGTGGCAGAGGGAAAGCTGACAAGGAAGTACGTCTGTCAGGGGTTTTGGTTCCGCACTGGGACCCTGGATACGACCGTCCACCATTACACCAGCCGGCCACAGGGTTGGGTTTTCTAGGGACTCGACTAAGGAATCAGTGGGTTGAAGAACCATCACGTCAGAAGACAGAAATCTGAAAATAAATCTTCGCAGACACACTCGAAAGTGGTCTGGAAGTACTGCCCCGCTTTCCATACACTCTGTTAGAGTTCTAGTCATTTCAGCACTGAGTTCCCCCCGATAGTTGTCTGGTAAGCAATCCACTGCGTCATCAGACTGTAGATCCTCAAGGAGCTCGTACAGTGGAACAATGTGGCAAAGTTTCACTGAATCCCGTGGCTCGGGTAGCAGGTGTTCGGGAAAAGGGTTCATAGATGTTGACAGCCATTGTGTTGCATATTCCAGTAAAGACATGTCACTTTGACCTCCAGTGCGTTTGATAAAACACAGCAGTACTTCTAACTCGTTTAAGAGATCACTCGTCTTATTCAAAGACCGTTCGTGGTCTCTCTTCACACTGTTGATGATATCCGATGGTAGGAATCTCTCTTGGGGTATCAAGGACTTCACTTCCTCTAATATAAACGATGAGCCATGGAAAAGTTCCTTTGCAAACCGAAAGAAATGGATGCCACCTTTTGCTTTAAGGTACGGTTTTCCCATCACCAATTTGTTGGCCAGCTCTGCTTCAATTACTCTGTAATCATACTGCATGTCTCTACCCATACCGTATGATATGTTGCACTGCTGGGAATGAGAAAATATCTCATCGGACCAATCATACTCAATAACGTGCTTCTTCATGCAGTCTTCCAAGTTGATGTATTTCGCCATTCCGACATTTGATCCTCGTCGCATGTAACTGAGTACCATACTGTTCCCAGCAACGGCAGCATGCATGCAGTCATCTAGGAAGGTGTTTTGGATGTTTACCAATGCTCTGAGTGCAACATAGAAAGGTGAAGTCTCAGAATCTATCACAGACTCACCAAGGTTTGATGATTGTTTGTCCAAGTTTGGTAACTTCTTAAAACAAGGGTCAACAGCTGTGGCTAATGGGTCATCTCGGAGAAATTTGCAGGTTGCCCTTAGTGTCTTATATGCTGTTCTTAAATTCTCTTTCTCGAATTCGGGTATATCAGTTTCTTCTACAAATGTGCTTGTTCGCCTTTGGCTGGCCTCATCTCTCGCAATTCTCTGTTCCAATTTCATAGTGATCATACGGTGCCAGTTAAGAATAACTGGTATGTGTTTGATAAGTTTCAGACGGTCTTCAGTTATTAGAAACACTTCCAGGAATGGGTAGTGTTTCGAAAGTTTCCTTGTTTCAAACTCTGATCGAAGATTTGCCAGTGTTGGCTTTGACGTAAGTCGAAAATATGCTGCACTGTAATCAAGGCACATGTCAGTATTATATATTTCAAGCAACTGCTGTTGTTCAGTCGTGCTAACTGTTTGTTCATCCTGTCTTCCAACACTGAAACACTGTTTCTTGAATTCTTTAATGAGACCATGCCGCCGTGCAGTTAAATCATGAATCTCATCAAACAACTGGTCAATCGGTCTACATCTGCCACTGGGGGCAAAGTGATGATGTAATCTTGAGATAAAGAGATGTAAAAATTCAAATACTCCATGTGTTTCTACTGCTAGCAAGTCTCCAAGCACCCCAACATGTTTTCTCATCCTTTCAAGAATATTCCCATCTACTTCCTCGACTGCACAACTGAATTTAGCCGCCAAATCACCCTTTGAACACAGTTTTGAACTGAGTCCAGCTGCAAAACATGACTGGAGTAGCAGATGTATCACATGGAAGGAAACAGTAGAACTCTGGATATCTTTGACAGAGATTTCTGTGTTTCCTGTTTGGTTTGATACACTGGTTGCATTGTCACTCGCCATCTGGTCACCTATTGGACGTGCACAATTTGGGCAATTTGTTATCTTCTCTGTCTTAGATCCTGTGATCATTAACACCATATTTCCACATTGGCAGTACCAATGGTCAAATACCGGTCTATTAGATCGCCGAGATGGTGATTCGATTTGACTTGATATCAGTGTGTCCAGTGTCTGCAAGGTTTCTGGGGCTAAGAGGCTTTTCGCAAAGGCAGACTCCAAGTTGCTATTACAATCTGTTTTAGAGACAATGACAGCCTGAATATGTATGGCAAGAGCTGAATAGAGTGCACCTTGAAAAGTTTGTTGAGATGATGGTGAGAACGTGTTGAAGTCCCCATCTTCTGTCAGAAAGTATTCAAAGTCCTTCTTGCCTACCAATCGACAAACTGTTTCTTGGTAGGGTACTGGCAAGGACTTGCATTTCTCTAGTATCCATTCAGCTGCTTTATTTTTGTGCTCATTGAGAGGTCTGCTGAATCTGCTGAGATAGAAATTTGCAAACAATACTGCAAGCAATGAAAATCTATATAACGAAGATTGGTGGCATTTTCCCACAATGTTCATCATTGGGTCTTGATTGTCATGGATTAATGCTGACAGGGCACCATTGGTCTCTAGGTAATGGGTGGCATAACCAAGCGGGTTGTATCCCAGATGGCTTGAGAAACACGCTTCCCAAGATAAACCAAATTCCTGTACAGTTTGTGGTAGATAAGACTGATATTCTTGACAGAAGTTGATTACATAAGGTAGACCCTCCTTCTGCATCATTGATTTGAGGAGGTAACAAAAGAGGTGCTTCTGTCCACCATTCACTTGGTTGAGGTGAGGTCGGAACAAGTAAGAGGTAAGAGCCAGAATCCTCTTGCATATTTCTTCATTGCTGTAAAACTCACGTTGACACATAGCATCTGCCAAAGCTTCAAGGAAAGTCTTCAAAAAAGAGACGGCACAAGCAAATGGAAAACCACATGTGTGCGTCTTGGCGATAACTTCATTGGCTTGCTTTACTTTTCTCAGCAGGGAATCGTCACTGCTCACCAATGCGGCAACATCTTCAGCACTGATATCCATTATGAAGTAGTCATGCAGAATGTCACTTGCCAGTATCCCTAATGCGGTGTCATGGCAAGTTGAAAGACATGTGTGAACATCACCAACTGCACTGGGGACGGTAATTTCGGATTCGTCCATCAGATAATCCAGTGATAGACAATCTTTCTGCAGTCTTTCATCTAAGAACTGTTGAAATAAAATGGGTCCAAATAACGTCAGATTCTTGTCGGGTAGAGTTTGGTTCTTTACGGCATCCAAAAAGTAAGCAAACAAAGGGTTCTCAATATTTGCTTCCATGCATCGCCAAATGTACGCACAAATGAATTCCTGCAGGTTAGTGCAATGCAAAGACTTGGCTTGCTTGAGATGTACAAATTCAAGTACTTGTGCTGCTAAACATTCAGACTCAATCGGTTCTTCGCCAGCATCTTTTACATGCATGGCAGTGTTAACTAGGTCATACAGAAGGCTTTCAAACTGGGGTTCATTTCTCACTATTATGTGGACAAAATCCTGAAACACTCTCAAAAGATGCAAACTCGATGGATATACGCTAATTTCTGTAGCAATGGCAAGGATTACTCCAACTTTCCGCTGCCACTCCATCACTCCTCCACAGCTCTTCACTACAGCTGATGAAGGGATGAATTGCCAACTTACATGATCCACCAACTGTTCCTCTTGCTGCAACTGGTCGTTTGTTGGAAGGCTACCATTGTCTGCTGAGTCTCTGTCGATGGATTCATCATGCGTGGGTGAGGATTGGATGGTTGGCACATCACCTTCCTCACTGTGTGGTGGGATGTTGGTATTATCTACAAGAGGTTGGTTCTTATCAGATATTGATTTCTCTTCAGCTGCAGCGTGTATATCATGTGGCCCCATTTCGTCTATGATATCAGCAGGACTGAATTGCTGAATGTCTCCATCATCATCACCCCCAATGTCCACATTTTCTGTAATGCTAGAATCACATTCATGATATACTGGTACTATTTCGGTCGAGAAATCTGGCTTTTTTGAAAAAGTACTTTCTACAGGGAATGCATCTCCCCTAGATACATCATCTGCACACAATGTTTGTTCACCAGAAAATCTCTTTTGTTTCTCAACATTTCTTGCAAAACCTATGCAAGCAGACACATCTTCATTTAATGACGAAGGGCTTGGAACTTGTCTTTGCAAGGGATCTTGTTCTAATACTTCCATTTGTGCAATATCAGTTGTTTGGATGCATATCCTTTTTGGTTCTGTCAAATCACCTTGATGCTCCTTTGAAATTGAACCAGCATCATTAGGACTAAACTCGTCCATGCCAACCCTAATGCTAAGTATTTCATTTTCATGAGTATCTGGCATGTAGTTCGGATCGACATCACTGATTTGAAAGTCGGCAACAAGTCCTGCAGATGTTTTTTGCTCTGTAACATTATAGCTGCCCTGTTTCACACTTTGAATCAATTTGGATACATCAGTATCAGTAACTGTTTGCTTAAGGGTCAGCATTAGTTGTAACTGTGCATCCACCAAGTCACTTTTCTCCCAGGCAGCCAAAATTAGTGAAGTGATGAACTGCATTGGATTGTTCTTGCTCTCTTTTCCGCAATACCTGTCTACCAAGCACCATCGCATGATGGTCAAAACTTCATCTGGCTTCAAATCAGCTGGTACTTCTGCTGCTGCAAACAGACACAAGTCATCAATGAAGGCTTCAAGGTCGGGAATGGCATCTTCTATTGATCCAACATATATCTCCAGTTCTCTTGTAAACATTTTTTGGTACCTTGGATTTAGAACTGTAATCTCTGAATTTGCAAGCACCTCTGACATGAATTGATCTCTATGTTTCCAGAAAGTTCGAAGATGGCAAACACTAAATGGAGATTTGGTATCTTGGGTTGGTCCGTGAAGAAAATAGCATTCAGAACCGGTTGGTGGTGGAATCTTGGTTAGAGGAGGAAGGATTCTTGAGGACATAAAGACATTTTTCCAGCATTCTTTTCCTTTAGAACCGGCCCCGAAGTACCCTCCCCAAGCACTGCAGTCTTCCAAAAGATACACAATGATAGAGAGGGGAACTTTTACTCTTCGAGTGAGATACTTTTGCATCGCAAGCAGTAATGTGGAACTGCTGTAAATATCTCTCCAGCTACAAGCAACGGTGACCTGCCATGTACGCAAATCAAATGGATTTGGATACTCGTGTGGAACTTTGCCATATTCATCCATCCTAAGCCATAATTCAGAGCAATCTTCATTCAAATACTGCAGAATTTTCAATCCAAACACATCTAGGAGCTCATCAGATGCAACAAGGTCTTCAATTAAACGTTTAATGTCTGCTGCAGTACGACGCATGCCGGTGTAATTGATGCACACAAAACAGCGTAGCATTTCTTTCTTAATGGATTCTTTCAGTGAGAAGCTATCTGAGTGAAATACGCCGGAAAGAGTTTTACCAATGACTTGCCCTACTGGTATTTTTGCCTGTTCCACTGGATCAAGTGTGACTATTTTCCAACCCGGACCATAGCTCAAACGCCATTGGTTTTCGTCCCCTGAGTGTCTCCTTTGTAAGTGATATAGAATAAAAATGTGTTTGACAACACCCACTCTTCCAGAGCGCAAGAACTCACGTCTTTCATTTTCTAATGTAGCACGTAGAACAGCAAGGTGTTTCAACTCATCAGCTGGTTTACACTGGAATACCAATAATTCTTCATCCTGATCAGAGAAAAAACAGTGGATGGATTCAATAAGCTCTTTCTCTGATCTGAATGCTCCCAGTTTTTCAAAACGTGAACATAAAAGACCTTGCAGTTCGTCTTTGATACTAACATAGAGACTGCTGTGGGTAAGAATGATGAATCTTGCTCCTTTGGTTTGGTCCTCCAAAATAGGCATTATCTGGCCATTTCCTTCCATTATTGTTTTTGTGAGTAAATGGGGGAGCCCTTCATGTATTGGATATTCAAAATACTTTTGTTGAATTTCTCTCACTTCTACTGGTTCCACATTTGCAAGGTCGGCTTTACATGATCGCAAAATGCCATCTGGTGTTGCAGCATGCAGTATTTCTTCTTTAATAAGATCCCTACTGACTGTCTTTCCTTCAAATCTCAGTTTTAGTGCAAGTGAAGCTAAGGTATCTTTTCCAAAGCCGGGAAAGACGTGATGTGCCTCAAACTTTAAGTCTTTTACAGTTGTAAGATCCTTAATCCATGTCTCAAGATCTGACAGCATCTCAACTTCATCATCCTGTAACAGGTCGGAGAACCGAATCAACTGTTTTTCAAAACGATTCAGGAAAGGCGGGTCTTGGTGGGGAAGGTCCTTTTCATCAATAAGGACGATGCACCGGAACTGGTCATGGACATGACACATCGGGTTACTAAATGGTCCTAAAGCCACCCTGCAATTCTTTTTTCTGTCCATAACAGTGTAGTTCTGATTCAGCATGTCATATAGGCTTCCGTAGATAGACTCTAAATTCTTCAAAATAAGAACGACACCCCTTTCCATGCAAAGAATAATACGACTCAAAATTCTGTAGTTGTAATCCTCTGATCGATCGTCCTCAAACTTGCTGCCAAATATGATCTCATATTCCCGGTTTGTTGTGTGTAGAATGTTCTCCACAACATCAAGCACAGAATCTCCGCTCGTTACCAGGAGGAGGTGTCTTGCATCAGTGTCAACCAAGTTTTCCCGAATAAGGTCTTCTGTTGGAACTTTACCCACATTTTCAGTTTCTTCAAATACAATTTGCTCTTCTTCCAAATGAGCTTTGAACGTGTTCATTATATCGTCCATTTCTGATGAAAGGCCACCAAAATTCCTTAGCAATCCTTTCCATATTGATTGCAGAATGGTACTCTGTGATGCTGATTCATCTTGTGTTAGATACTTCACCAGATAATAATAGTCCCGTAGCCCATGGAAATTGCTAATCTTCTGTTTGGCTTGATATTCATAGTATGCTTTTGCCAGGGCAGAAAACATTAGCCTTTGGTAGGCTGGTAATTGCTTTGAATCATCTTTGGCTTGGGTAATTGCAATTGCTGTTTCAAGCAGTTCTTCTACTTCTAAGTCAGGTCTGGACAAATGGATGGCCCTGTTCATCTTAGCGCCGTCTAGCGCCCAGTTGGAAATGCCCACCACTGCAACTTTTAAGCCAGTTTGTTCGGCAGGTTCCAGCAGATGGTGTAGCACCTTCAACGGGTTGGAGGTTGATACTTCAGCAAGGCCAACTTCATCAAGAAGAACCGTAGCTAAGACATTGCTTTCCTGATTCAACTCTTGGTATTTTTTAGCCTTTTCAAATACTTTCTCTATGCCTTCTGAAGTTGACGATTCTGAGCCTTGGTATGAGACAACATATATCTGTGGATACTCTCTGAAAAACGGGTGTCTCGCTTCCTGCCCACGAAGGTTTGTCTTCAGAAGTTGCATGGAAAGTGACTTGCTGCAACCGGGTTTGCCAACAACAAATACTGGGATTTTGTTGAGTATGCATACCAGCATTACAAAAACGTTTTCAAGCAAAGCTGAATTCTTAGCTGTTCCTGGTGGTGCATCCATCATGTCTACTATGCCTTTCTGTTCTTCTTGGATTATCCCACGTAGGTGTTGACCAGAGGTATTCTGTGTCACCCCTTGTTTTTCGAATACATAAGAAAGCTCTCTGAGATATTCCCGCCTGTTTTTTAGCTTCCCAAGCCGTACATAGTAGCAATGGGCCAATGCAAGGATGATGGAACGTTTTTCTAAGGTGGAACTATCAAATCTTGTGAACATATTTTCGCCCATATATTTCTGTTTTCGCTTCAAGAAAGCAATGAACCACGTGACAAGCTGTTT